GGGTGTTTGCCTCTGCTTCCATCAGTCACTGGATGAAAGCTCCAGGATGGTTATAGACATCAAGTTCATTATCAGGAATGGGCATTCGAGGTGGTCTCTCCACTATTGCTTAGCTTGCCAGTTGGGGTCATCCCTTTAGATCACTAGAGGTGAGACCACTGGTGCCAGATCTCTCTTGTAACCTATGACTCCCTCTATTATGGTATTTCTCATCCTGTTCTGCCTCCCACTCAACCTTCCTGTTCCCCCATAACCTACTCTCTCTTCTTCTTCTCCCTTTCTAAGTAACACCTTCTTGGTTTACAGTTCTTTTGCTTTGGGGTTAGAGCATGTGATCAGGTTCACAAGACTAGTTAGTTAGCAGCAGTAATAAGACTAGATTACCAGTGTGAATTCTTCTTTATCCCACACTGTTCACTGCATACCCTCTGCACCCGAGGCACAGCTTACATCCCTTAATTCACATCTCTTTACAATATTCTCAAATAGAGCTACTCCCTTGTGGAGTATCCAGCATCTTACAGGAAATTGACAGTATTCAAAAAGCCAGCATGTCCTCACTTAATCTTAGTTTAACCTCCTTAAATGATTCTGAATATTTCTGTTTTTTATTCCGAATAATTCTATTCATAAAGCATTGAATTAGAGTACAGAGCTAAAGGAAATAAAAATATTACCATAAATGAAACTTTCAATAAAACATAGAAAAAAGATGATACATTGTGACAGTAGCATTACTCACATATATAATGCTAAGTAATTGCAAATTTAGGGATCACACAAAAAATTCTGCATACAGGTATTTTCCATGACTGAGGTAAATCAATTAAAATAGGGGTAGTATCAAATCCATGCAAATTGTTAAAAAGGAGTATACATTGCCAGCATTTTTCTCTGACACCTCAGTACCTGTAGCTCAGAGCCTGGCAACTTACATGGGGTTTTCCACACTTCACATTAGTCCCAAAGTGCCAGTGGTCAACTTCACTGCAGGGACAATATTCAAGAGGTTTCATGGACACTTCATTATCCAAGAATTCTCTAGGGAAAGTGAAAAAGAACTCTATAAATGAAAATTAAAAATATACCAGCACATCTAAAAATTATAGCCTCATTCAGCAATCCATCTAAACCTGCACTCAGTCCTCAAATGCCTAAGGCAGGATATTCAAACTAGGCATCTCCCTTGAGCCGAGACAGAACATTGGCCTAAGGTGGTAACTACAGTTTACCAGAGCTATGATCCTCAGGTTGTTGGATATTCAGTAAGAAACCTAAATTAACACTACTTGAGTAAGATGAAAAGTTGGGCCCCTTGTAATACTGACTCTACTATCATCTCTGGTAAGACATGAAGGTTCCTAGTCTAATGTGCCTTACCCAACAGGAGAATAGAGGGAAATCAATCCTACTGGGAAAGAACTCACCCGAGAGACAGTAAAGAACACATGGCCAGGCCCTGTTCTTAACTATGGAAGAACTCATGTGGGGGGATGACTATGTGCTTAGTTTTTTCTGGATGGTGTTTGGGAATAATGAGCAAGATGTAATAGTGTGAATTTAATTCTTCACAATCAGAAAGATGTCACTATATGGTGTTAAGGTGAGGAGCACCACCAGGACTCATCACCTTACACACCCTGAAAAGAGTGCTATACCAAAAGCATCTGTCCTAAGTCAAACAATAAAGCAAAATGTCCTGAAATGGACAAGTAGGGGGGGAGGGGGTGTTTATAGGGGCAGGAAGGAAGTAGGAGAGGGGCGGGAGAGAGTAACGAAGATATATTGTATATGGATATGAAAATGTGAAAGAAAATAACAAAAAGAAAGACAGGGCTGTTACACTGGAAACCCTGTCTTGAAACTCCCCTCTCCAAAAAGAAAGAAAAAGACAAAGCCTCAACTCTATTTCTGTACCATGAGGGTTGAGAAAACAGTCTTAAATGAGGCATGTGCACACTTCCACTCACATGAGTGAAAAGGTGAGGACTATGTTAATGGCAGGTGGCCTCAGGGAAGTAGAAGAAATCTCAGAATCCTCAGAATCTACTGTTGAGCCAGCACATAGAGTATGGGGTGCTTCCTATTTCTGCCTTGAAGATCCTGGCAAGGAGACTAATAGAATGCAAGGAGCAGGGCCTCAATTGTGCAAGGGAGAGTTCGTTTGAATCTCCAAAGACCCTAAGTGGGAATGAGAAGGACTGCCCCCAAACAGGGCAACTCAGAGTCCTGCTGTCAGGCCTTAGAAACAAAAGTTGTGGATTCATGTAAGGCTTGGCTAGAGTGTTTGTTCTGTGACCTAGGGCTTCCTGTGGAGGCTGGAGGGCTTAAATAAGTACAATGAACTGGGCAGTGGTGGTGCACACCTTTAACACTAGCACTCAGAAGGCAAAGGCAGACAGATTTCTGTGAGTTCAAGGCCATCCTGGTCTACAGAGCAAGTTCTAAGACAGCCAAGGCTAAACAAAGAAACCCCGTCTCAAAAAAAAAGTACAATGAAAAATTACTTGGGTCTGCTAGACCACTTCAGAATGAAAAGAAGACAACAAAAGTCCTAACCGTTTTCAGCACTGTGAGCCAGAGAGTAATCTGTTAAACTTTATGTCATATCTAGACTTCCACTCTGAGGATTAAGAAATGGGATGGTAACGTTTGCTGCTGGCAAATTTGAATCAATAGAGGAAAGGATTCTAGGACAAGAAAAAAACTGTTCCTAATTGTGATGTACCAGACAACATTGCAACCTTGTTGTTCTCGTACCTCTAGGAAACCAAAGAGGTTTATCTGAAAGCTGAGAAGAAAGCTCCAATTGGGAAGGGACAAACAATATAGGACAAGGCATACAAAATGAGGTGGGTTAGGAGGCTTTGAGAAATTGATGGAGGCACAGTGGGCAAAGTGGGACTTATGCTGCAATGGACCTCAGAGGCTCAAACAAGGAGCTTTGTGTGTCGTGGACTGAAAAGAGTGTGAAGGTTTGAGGAAGCTCGAGTACAGTGAGTAACTATACATTGCCTTCCATACTGAACTTTCAGTGGGGTTCCTTAGCAACCCGGCCCTGCTGTCAATCTTCAGAGCCAGCCCCTGCCCAGATGTGATCTACTCTCACTTCCTGTTGGAAAGGGAGAAACTGGGTTGTTGGTGCTCTTGGCAAAGGTGCTATGTGAGTGCCCATAGACCGGCTGTCAGCAAGTTCAAAAGGAGCCTTCAGTCAAGGCAAGGAACCTCAATTTGTACTAAGAAGAGCATACCCCTTGGATAAGCAAACAGGTTGCACTCAATTCCATCCCTGAGTCAGCGGGCTTACTCTGAGAAAGCCGTAGATTGCAATGTATCTTGGAAGGTCTCAGAACAGAGCGGGCATGATCTTGGAAAGGAGCCCTGACACTGAAAATGCCCTGATGATATCCTAGACCACAATTAAAGCCAAATTTGGGACCCTAAGTGATAAGGAATGCTCATTCCAAACAGTTGTGTTTCCACACTCAGCCCCACCCCACACCCTGCCCTTGAACTGAGCTCTAGAAGACACCATGCAGATTAGGCAAGTGAACATGGAGCAAGCTGACCTAATCTTCAGGTATTAGGGATTTTGTAGCACCCCCTCAACGCCCAAAAGAAGAAGAAAAATAAAACCCAAACAACAATAGTAAAGAGAACATCGTTTAAAAAAAAAAAGAAGAAAACTAAAAAGCCCCAAATATTTAGACAGCAAGTGTGTGGGAGGGATGTAGAGGCAGGAAAAGATAGCTTCAAAAGCCAAGGTCCTGCTGAATTGTGTAGTGATACAATGTTTTGAGTACAAGGCACAGAACAAGGAAAACACAGAAGGTTTTAATCCTTTATTTAAGAAACACATACAATTTTACATATAAGAGGTTTATGAGAAAAAGTCTCTAAAGAAAAGGAGGCAGGGCAAGCAGAGGACAATAGCCAATGAATATGCAATGAATATGATCAAATTCATATATATACACACATACACACATACATATGCGTGTGTCTATGTAAAATTCCATGGTAAATTACATTTTGTTGTATAATCAAAATATAGAAAAAAGAAAACAAGCATTAATTAGGACTGTTTAAGCATAGTAGTATGTTACAAGGGCTGAAAGACAAAATGAAGTATTGAAAGCAGTAAAGGACTTATTAAATCTTGTGATGGATCTGACAAAATAAAATATTGCCTCATTTTTCCCAGAGGTAGTTTCACAATATCAACTACCTTGGCCCCATGGAGTAGGTTCGCTTAAGCATTGGTTTGCAGTGCCTGACAGGAGCAAAGTGTATGACAATGAACTATGATGAGAGGACCACTTTCAGAAAGAAGAGGCCCATTTAGAGCCCCAGATTTGTTGTGAGCTGTGAACATGCTGCCATTATTAGCCATAATCATTGCTCTCAAGGCATTTTCACCTTCAGAAAGCAAAGAGACGAGCTGCCAGTTTCAACACTTCCCTCATCTCTTTATGTTAGCCCAAAGGGTGAATCTCCTCAGCCTAAAAAGTTTAACACAGAGTGGGTGATGCCAGAGCTTACTGGGAGCTGAGGCAAGGAATCTAAAGGAAGGTTGAAGACCCCAGAGAGCCCAAGCTAGAAAGGGCTTGCTAATTCTCAGCACTCAGTGTACCCAGTTAGTGCAGTGTACTGAAGCTCCCTGAAGCTTTCTCCCTTGGGGCTAAAAGGAACCTTTGAGCTGTCAAATGAGAGTAGCAGAGAGGAGTGACTCAGAAGCGAAAAAGAGTTGATATAATCCTAGAACTGAAGGTGCTCAAACACTACAAGACAGGGATCCTTGTTGAACCTCAGCACTGCCAGCAGGCTACTCAGGAGACCAGGAGCCCTGTGGGTTTGGGGAAAGTTAAAGGAATATTGATAATAGGCAATGTATTCAAAATATAATTAAGGTGCTTCTATTATCTCATTTTCTCTGTCCAGGTATCCAAGACACCTTCTCTACAATCTGCTCTTGCCTGCTGTGGCTGACCATATCCATCATGCCCAGGGGACAAAAGAGCAAGGCCCGGGCTCGTGAGAAACGCCGCCAGACTAAAACGGAGTCCCAAGGGCTTGAGGGTACTCAGACCAAGGCAACAGAGAAAAGAGAGTCGCCCTCGTCCTCTGCTCGTGCTTCTGGAGATGCTATGGCAAGTACCGCTGCCGATGTATTTTCCAAGTTGTTTCAAGGAATGCCTCATGCCACTACTTTCAGTATCTGCATTGCCTGCAAAAAGTCTGATAAAAGTGCCAAGAGCCGGCAGAAGAAAAATATGAGCTCCTCTAGGTCCCAACACTCCAGTAAGAGCCCACAGAAAGATCTTATAACAAGGAAGACAGGGATGCTGATTGCGTACATGCTCAACAAGTACAAACAGAAAGAGCCCCTGTTGAGAGAAGAAATGCTGAATGTTGTCAACAAAAGCTTCAAGGAACAGTTCCCTGAGATCCTCAAGAAAGCTTCCAACCGCATGGATCTGGTTTTTGGACTAGAGTTGAAAGAAGTTCCGCCCAGTGGTCAATCCTATGAGCTTGTCAGCAAGCTAGATTTTGAGGATGATGGAAGTAGGAGCAGTGAGCTGGGTCTTCCCAACAGGGGCATTCTGATCCCTCTCCTAAGTGTGATCTACTTAAATGGCTACTGTGCCCCAGAGAAGGAGGTCTGGCACTTCCTGAGTATGCTAGGAGTCCATGATGGAGTCCCACATCTCATCTTCGGGAATATCAGAAAGCTCATCACTGAAGATCTAGTACAGGAAAAATACCTGGAATACCATCAGGTTCCTAGCAGTGATCCTCCATCCTATGAGTTCCTGTGGGGGCCAAGAGCCTATTCTGAAACCAACAAGATGAAGGTGATGGACTTTTTGGCCAACATCAATAAAACTGGCTCCTCTACCTACCCATTCAGTTATGAAGAAGCTTTGAAGAAAGAAGACAGAGCCCAGGCTGAAGGGGCAGCCCAGAGAAGCACTACATGCAAGACCAAGAGACGTTCTAAAACCAAGTCGAGCTTTGCTACCTGCTAGTGAGATCTAAGGTAGTCTCCACTACATCACTGAAAGAGCCTACTAATCTTTATTATTGTGATGCTCAAATTAGTTATTAGTAAAGCTGTTTAGTGTTTTTTATCATAGTGCTCACTTGAAGTCAGAAGTTAAATAGAAAAATACCTAAGATCATTTATTTTAGAAAAATAAACAGATCATACCTTCCTTGTTGCTTACCAAGTTGAGGGTTGAAAGTTAGATTTGATGTGAAATGTGATTTGAAATTCCATAGTTAACTTTGGTGATGTACCATAAGGCAATATGGAATTACAATTTAAATGTGCCTGAGAGTAGGAGAGAAAAGAAGACATAGAAAAAATAATAGACTTTCAGTTCATGTTTCTTCTCCACACTTTCTTTTTTCAAGCAAGTAAGAGATGCATATTAAAGATGTATAAGAAACTAAATCACAGTAAATTGGATTTCTTGCTTAAGGTTTTTGTATTTTACTGAAACATTTAATTGACCATCTATTCTTGAGGAGTCTTGCTGGAGGTGTTTATAAAAATAAGACCCAAAACCTGCCCATACAATGATAGATTTTGGAAGAACTTCTTATTATGGAAATGTGGTCTACTTTCTAAAGGAAGAAACAGAGAAAAATGTATACTTGAATAGAAAACAGGGTTTCTTTTTTCATTTTTTATTGCTCTGTGACAGAATGTTTTTGTGTTTGGGGCCCCCAGAGCTATATATTTTATGGCATCTATGAGGGTAAACATGAATAGAAATAATTCCAGGTGTATACTGCTAATGAAACAGCTCAAAATGTTCACATTAGTGAGTACCATCCTTTAATAAGTACATGGAAGACAAGTGAGACACAAAAGCCACACATTCAACATGAATCTTACTGGTCCTAAAAAAAATGGACTCTTGATGGGGGATGTCCTTCTACATATATTTTTCTCTTATCAGTTGATGAGTAAAACACTGTTTGGCCAGTAGAGGCAGGAAGATGGGTGTAGGAGATGAGGAGAATGCTGGGAAGAGAGGCAGAGAGGCACCGTGAGGAGACAGCGTGTAACCAAAAAGGAGTAACAGGCCCAGGCATTCTCCGGTAAGCCAAGTCCATGTGGAAATACATAAATTAATAGAAATGGGTTAATAATTAAGAGAGAGAGAGCCAATAAGAAGCCCAAGCCATTGGCCAACAGTTGTATAATTAACATAGCATCTGTGTGCATATTTGGGACTAATCAGCTGCGGAGCCAAGCTGGAAAAGAAACTCTAGCAACAGACTCTATTAAATTCACTTCTTCTAGCCGGGTGTTGGTGGCGCACACCTTTAATCCCAGCACTTGGGAGGCAGAGGTAGGCGGATCTCTGTGAGTTCGAGGCCAGCGTGGTCTACAAAGTGAGTTCCGGGACAGCCTCCAAAGCCACAGAGAAACCCTGTCTCGAAAAACCAAAAAAAATTTTTTTCACTTCTTCTTAGTGGAAAGTTTGAGCATTACAGAATATCCATGTCCCCAAGTTTGCAGAAATAGTAAATACCAGAGTTCATACTTGGCCCCTGATCTAGAGCCTATGCTACTTAACTTATAAGCTGAAAACCCAAACTGAAGCTCTTATTTAAGTACTCCAACACACATTTTGATTAATGTAGAGAAGGAATTTGTGCTCACATTATGGGATTAGAATCCATAGCTAAAGCAAGAAAAGAGTGCCACAAAATGGAGAGCCTGCAAGATGGCTCAGCACCTTCCACCATGACTGACAACCTAGGTTTGATCACTAGGATCCATGTGGTGGAAGGAGACCAGATACCCACAAATTGTCTTCTGACCTCCATAAACATGCCATCCCATGTGCCTCCTCCCCCCTCCAAATAATGTGTTTTAATAGATAATAAATAATGAAATCAATTAAGGAAAGAAAAATGATTATTTAATGACAGTGTGATTATTTACATTTGAAATGTTATATAACTTCAAGTGATTAAGTACTTCAGGTCAGGATGGGGAGTACGTTATCATAGAGCAATTGCCTAGCTGACATGTAACCTTGTTTCATTCAACTCCCACTATGGACATCTTACTTACTCTATAAAGTAAGTGTCTTGTGGCAGATGTTAATGTAGTTCTACCTATGAAAAGAATGATCACTTTAATATGTTTTTGTTAAGTATCCTGGATATGCTGACCAACTCACATCACTGCTGGCACAAGAACCTATTCTCAGGAGGGTATATCAGGCTGAACTCACTCTAGACTTAAAAACATTTGACATTTGCTAGAATTATTCAATCTCAGAGACAAAGTCAAAAGATACTGAGATACAAACACACCTATAGAAGAATTGTATGTAATGGAGAGAACTATTCCACCTATTTTCTGACAGAGTGCCAAACATAATTGCCAGTCTGATGAATCTTGGTTTGCATATTCTTTTAAGGTTTAAAAGTCCCCAGGGCTTTGGGGACACCATGCTGATGTGAGGTGAGACAGGAAGGCTAGGCTTTGATAGAAATTAACTATTGAACTGCTGTGGCAGTGACACAAGACCCAAGGAAGCAGAACTGTTGAAATATGAACTTAAGGGAAAGCAGATAATAAAAGTAACTTCAAAAAATGTCACCTCTGTACCCCTAGAAGGAAAGTTATAGGATTGTCATGTTGAATTTCTCCCTTCTTTGTGGGTGAGGTGGTCTCAAGTGTAGGATCTCCTTGGATTGATGAACTTAGGCTCCCCATAGAAGATATGGGATATACTATGCAGAACAGGAGTCAACACAGTAATACAAAGCATGAATGAAGGGAATGAGACATGGTTAAGGTGATAGCTCTTTCCAAGGGATCACAGAGACAAGTGTGCTATCTCATATTAACAGAGGTCAGGTTTCCAGACTGTGTTAGCAACCTGTCAACTCCTTACATGTAACAGGACAACACAGACTCCTATCAGTTCCCACTCTAGGTGAACGGGGTAGTGCAAGGATTGATTCTAGGATTGCGTCCCACAGCAACTGAGGTGGGAATATTGGTATCGCCAATGGTTCGGACTGACACACATTTGTTACTACCATCATAAGGCTCCAATCTGTGTGTCATAGTTTTCATTCTAGTGATATTATTGACAATTGTGTAACCAGAAAATGTCCACTTCCCTTCCTTCTACTGGATCTCAGAGAGCCACAGGCCTCATATACAGGACATATCTTATACTTCAGTTTGAGAGGAACACAGAAGGAAAGACTACTCAACTAGTAAATTGTTTGTGGCACACAAGTGAGCCCCAGAGTTCAACCCTAGCATGTGTATTAAAGAAGCTAAGTGTGTCAACATGCTCTTGAAATAACAGTGCTTGGGTACAGGAAACCAAAGGTCTCCTGAGGCCTTCTGACAAGCCATTTAGTTAAATTGGTGAGGTCAAGGTTCAGTGAGAGACCCTGTGGCAAAACATAAGCTGGGAAGCAATTGGAGAAAACATCCCACATAGACTTCTGCCCTCCATGTGCATTAACACAAATGCAGCAACACAAAACAGCCTCCCATTCTGTCAAAAGACAAATGAAGTAATCTGGGTGGGGACTGAGATGCCCATTTATCTTTGATTACAGATGATAGAAATGTCGTACCCTGCTTTTCATCACCACACTGAAATTATTCAGGTAAGGCTTCCTCTGTTTCCTTTATATAATATCTAAGGTAAGAAAGAAAAATCAATGCATAACATTAGAAACTGTAGCCAAGTGACAATATAAGAGATCCAGTATACCAGTCACTGTACTAAGTACTGTCCTTTCCTTGTACACCTAGACCATTTAAGAAGAGAGAGCTCACCAAAGCCATTTCGACACAGTAGGCAAGTGACAGAGCTGGGACATCACTCAAGGATAAGATAATCCAAAGCCACAATTATTTTAGTTCTAGACTGTGACTTACTTGATGTCCTCAATTATTTTTTCTTATCATAACAAGAAAATGCTCTCTCTTATCTCAAAATATTGGATGCAAGATCAAGAGAAATATGATCACCAAGGATTTCATACTATAGGCCAGTCTACCTTAGAACAACTCACTGTGTAACCATGGCTAGCCTCTAATTCTTAGTGATATTCAAGCCTTTCATTCCCGAATTTGAGGTTGGAGCTATGAACCGGAACAAAACTCCTGATTAACTGTGAATTGTGAAGAAGCCAAACAAGAAGACATTTATTGGTCACAAGATTATATATGTCTGTGATCCTACATAGTTTCAAGGGATCAAGTTTTAAAAACCTAAATCTGGCTCAATCATCTAGTTTTTTTTAATTAACATTTGAGAGGAAACCTGCTAAGTCAGGCTAGCTGACTGAAAATGTAATTATATGATATTTTTCTTTCAATTTTATTCTGTCCATTTTCTATTTTCCTTTCTTCTTTTTTCCTTTGGTGTTATGGTGCAGACAGCATGCTACTTCATAGGTAAGTCCTATGTAGATAGAACTCAGGCAGTCAAGGCCTGGCTTGAACTCCCTATCCTCCAAGCCCTTATAAGCTACTTTGCCCATCTTATTTTGGGAGATTTTGGTTTTTACATTTATTCATTGGGGGAGGGGCACATGTATGGGGGTGAAAGGACAGCCTGCAGGAGTCAGTTCTCTTCTTTTACCATGTGGGTTTAGAGGATCAACTCAGGTCATCAGGTTTAGCAGCAAGCACCAGTACCTGCTAAACCATGTCATTGGCCACTATTATTCTATCAACAAACTGAGAATTCATAGAAATCTACTTATGGTTGTTTGAATAAAAATGCCATCCCCCCATAAGCCCATAGGGAGTGGCATTATTAGGAGGTGTGGCCTAGTTGAAGAAAGTGTGTTACTAGGGGGCAGGCTTTGAGATTTCACAAGCTTCAGTCAGGCCCAGTGTCTCTTTCTCTTCCTGCTGCCTGTTTATCTGGATATAAAACTCTTTGCTCCCTCTCCAGCACCATGTCTGCTTGAATGCCACCATACTTCCTGAAGTGATGACAATGGACTAAACCTCTGAAAT